TATATATATATATATATATATATATATATAAATAATGTTTTTTTGTTTTTTTATTTGTGCTGATAAATAAAGGGAGACTAGTATAGATCTATTTCAAGCTATTTAGCTCTCATCAGCTAACTAACTAACTAACTAACTAACTAACTAACTATATATATATATATATATATATATATATATATATTCATTACATTTAATTTTGTATGTATAATATACTGATTTATTACATTTAGGTTTTATACATATGTGTTGATCAATTAAATTTAGATTATACATTTGTAGAGCTATGAAATTTAAATTTATACATATAGATAATGTATTGATCTATGACATTTAAATTATACATATAATGTAGATTAATTTGATATTAAATTTTATATAGGTATATCATGTATTGATTTATTAAAGTATATATAATTATTTTGTTTGTGTGTGTGTGTGTGTGTGTGTATTTCTTAGATATATATTAAATATATCTGCAATACAGGTGAAGCAACTGGGCAGCTTACAAAAAAATAAAAAGAATAAATATCAAAAGAACTTAAATTACAAATGTCCTTTAGGAAATTACACCGCCCACCTCATTTAAAGTAACCCTGGGTAGTTTAAAACGTAGATCTAATATACGAGCACAGATGATAAATAGATGGATAAAATGTTATATAATACACAATTATTAAGCAACACTATCCATATTATAACTTCTATATCATAAAAATTTAAATTATGGGGAGGGGGTCATGCGGCCGGGGATGATGGTCTCCGTATCCCGCGCAGCCAGAAAGGGTGGGGATGATGGGCGGGGTAGTCCCCTTTCCAACAATCAACCGGGGAACGGCGGAGGAACTCCCCACCTGAGGCCTCCGGTGTCGCCTCAACCCAACCTGGGACTCACCTGCGGGTATCTCAACCTTCTTTCTCACTCGCCGGCCGGCTTCTAATCGAGGCGGTGACGAGGCCGCCTCGGGTCTTTCACCGACTATGCCGCGCCCCAAAAAGATGACGCAATTCCGGTTCCCGCCCCGCCCCTTCCGCCCATCGCGTCGTGTGTTCGTTCTTGAGGGCCTTGAAGGTTGCCCATGTTCCCACGAAAACGTTTCGGGCCGTCAGGTCTTTCGCCGCCCCGCCTCCTTGACGACATGGAAACCGCGCGGCCAATCAGAGGGCCTCGCCTTTTTTTTTCGCTGCCATGGTGACGCGGTTGCCAAGGGGCGACCGCAGGATGGAATGCGAGGCGATTTGAGGGACCTGTTGGGGGTTTTTTTTCCCGCGCTTTTTTGTGGGTTCTTTTTGGGTTCACACGATGCGTCAAAAAAACAAAAAAAAAAACAACCCACAAGCGAGTCGAAGGTTCGTTGACCCGGGTTCTCACGCCATCTTCTGACCTGGACGAAAAAAACGGGGGAGGGAAAAAAAAAACTCAGGAAATTCAGCCTGATTCGTGTAGGGAGGGGACGCGGATTCGTTGGTTGTGTGAAAACACATTTGCGCTTAATGCGTGTAAGGTACACCCATAAACGGGTTATGCCCGTTGCTGGTTTTAGAGAGTTGTGTGAATACCTCAAAAGGAGGGAGGAAAAAAATTGACTGACGGAAAAAACTTACTAATTTTTATTTTTTTTATTTAAAACATTTCTAGGGCCTTCCCCTCAGTCTGTGAGGCAACCTGCCTCTTGAACCACAGAAAAAAAATTATAAAATCAGGTATGGTCACGTGATGACCTGTTTAATGACCATCATGATGTACAACTGGACTGAATTATCATAAATTGAGGACTGCCTCTCATGCCTAAACATTTTTTTTGGGGGGGGAAATCCCCTGACCGAAGGGTGAAATCCAAATAGTCCTAGACTTACAAACTGTTCATTTAATTAATGATTGTTTGAAGTGATAGCGGCACTGAAAAAAGTGACTTGGGATCATTTTTCACGCTTAACGATGATTCTATCATTCCCCATAGTCAGCTGATTCGTATTTATGACCATTTGCAGCGTCCTGAGGTCCTTTGGCGAGCTGACAAGCAAAATCAATGGAGAAACTAGATTCACTTAATGACCGTGTGACTAACTTCAAACTTTCAAACTTTAATGGTATTTGTATGCTACCCACTCCCTAGGGACTCTGGGTGGCTAATTTAACAACAACAGGGATTCACTTAACAATGGCGACTGGAAAGATGGTAAAATGGGGCAAAACTCACTGAACAAATGTCTTGCTTAGCAACAGAAATTTGGGGCTCACTTGTGGTCGTACGTCGAGACTCGAGGACTACCTGTAGATGAAGTCATCTGATGGCTCGCTGTTGCTTTCTCCTGGACAGGACTATAATTCAGACCAGTGTCCTGGGGTTATGTCATCCCCTTTTCCGATTTTTCTGAATAGTCTTCGGCTTACGGTCACAGTTGAGCACCAAATGTCTGTTGACATTTGTGAAGTGAGCTTTACCCTGTTTTATGACTCTTCTTGCCCCATTTCTGAAGTGAATCGCACCAGTTGTTCTTGAGTCACAGGGTTGTTAAGTGAAGCTGACTTCCTGCTGGTCAGAAGGTTGCAAAAGGGGATCATGTAACCCCAGGATATCGCAACACGTCTGTTGCTGAGCGTTTGAATATGCGGGGATGCTTGTGTAAGAAATGGTCATAAGTCACTTTTGTGCGGTGGTTTTCATTTGTCACTAAATAATGTGTTGGAAATTGAGGACTTAGAGAGAGGACCAGATGGAGTAAAACTCATTTAACAACTGTTGCTTGTCAATAGACATTTTGGGCTGAATTGTCTTTTACCTAGGATTACTTCAATGAAACAAAAGAGAGCTGGAAGGGACCTTGGAGGTCATCTAATCCAACCCCCTGCTCAAACAGGAGACCCTTATAGAATGACCGAGTTGGAAGAGACCTTAGAGGTCATCTCATCAAACCCTCTGCTCAAGCAGGAGACCCTTACAGAATAACAGTTGCAAGAGAGTTCGGAGGTCATCTAGTCCAGCCCGCTGCTCAAGCAGGAGACCCTTATAGAATGACAGAGTTGGAAGGGACCTTGGAGGTCATTTAGTCCAACGTCCTGCTCAAGCAGATCCTATATGTACCATTTCAGACAGGTGGATGTCCAGTTTCCTTCAAACCCCCCCAGTCATGTAGAACAAATAAATAAATAGAAATATTTGGCAGACGCCCGCAGGGCCTTATCGGCATCTTGCTGCCGATTAATTGAGAAATGGCAGGCGATCCTGGTTAAGACAAACTGGAAGTGGGATGAAGGTTAAAGGAAGTAGCTTTTCCCTCCACCCTTTCAACGGTCAAACTTGGCTTGTTTTTTTAAAAACAAGAACGCAAAAAACCCAGAATTATTTCTGCTTTGCATGCAAGGACTTTCTCACTCTGCTTTGCAACCTGGCTGGCTGCCATATATCCATTCAGCATTTCTTTTTTAAATTCTCTTCCACTTTTTGTGCTTTGACTCCCAATTTTCATTTCCTTTTTAATTCTCTTCCAATTTTTTCTGCTTTGACTCCTTGTTTTCATTTTTTTTAAATTTTCATTTAATTTTTTTCTGCTTTAACTCACAATGTTCATTTCTTTTTTTAATTCTCTTCCATTTTTTTTTCTCCTTTGGCTCACAGTGTTCATTACTTTTTCAATTCACTTCCAATGGTTTCTGCTTTGGCTCACCATTGTCGTCTTTTCAAGTGAGTCCTTTTCAACAGAGGGAGGCCTGGATATTCTCTTTTTTTTTCCAGCCAAGAGTTACACAACCAGGGAAATGATGACTAAAGCAATTGTGTCCCTCCACAATTACAGTATTGGTGTGGCTGGTTACATATTGACTTTAAAATTTCCCAATAGTTGTGCCTGTTCTAGGCACTCAGAACAAGACTGTTGCATATTTACGTCAGTGTGAAATCACAAGTTTTGCCTTTCGCATACTTGTTCCGGATAGCCCTTTTTCAAATACAGGCTGTCCTTGAATTACGACCACAATGGGGCCCCAAATTTACCTTGCTTAAGCAAATTTTGCTCCGTTTTATGACTTTTTGGGGCCACCATTGCTGAGTAAATCGTTGCCATTGTTACGTGAGTCCCACTGTTGTTAAGTGAATCTGACTTCCCCCTTTGACTTTGCTAGTCAGAAGGTCGCAAAAGCGGATTGTGTGACACCCCCGGGGGATGCTGTGACCGTCGTAAACGAGAGGCAGCACAGCATGCGAATTTTGATCACAGGACTGTGAGGAGTCCGTGATTGTCATTAAGTGTGAAAAATGGTCCTAAGGCACTTTTGTCATGGCCATTGTAACTTTGGACGGTCAGTAAATGAACTGTTGTAAATCGAGGACTACCTGAAAATGCAGCTGGTTGTAGTTTAGTGGCCTTTGAAGTTACAATGACCCTGAAAAAAGTGACTTACGACTGTTGCTACATCCTCTTGCTCATGTGATCAAAATTCAGACGCTTGGCAACTGACTCGTACTTACGGCGGTCGCAACATCCTGGGGGATCACGCAATCCCCTTTTGTGATGTTATGCCAGGCAAAGTCAATGGGGAAGCCAGATTCACTTGTAACCCACTTAACAACTGTATGGATTCACTTAACCATGGTGGCAAGGAAGGTCGCAAAATGGGGAAAAACTCACTTAACAATCCTCACTTAGCAACAGAAATATCAGGCTCTATCTTAACTACTTAACATTTGTGGTGCTTCATTTAACAACTGTGGCCAGAAAGTTCATAAAATGGGAAGAGACTCACTTAACAACTGTCTCGCTTAGCAACATATTTGGGGCTCAGTTGTGGTCATGTCAAGGACTGCCTGTAATACATACACCACATTAAGGAAAGTTACCAATCCATCTCTTTAGCTCTCTGTATTCTCTTTCTTTAGCCTCATTGCAGTCCTCGATTTACGACCTCAATAGGGATACAAAGTTCTGCGGCTAGCCAAGTCGGTTGTTCTGCGAATCTTTTGCTGTACAAGAAGTCCTCGATTTATAACACTCCAATTTCTGTTGCTAAGCAAGACGCTTGTTCTGCACGTTTTGCCTCCTTTTATTATTTTTCCTGCCACTGTTGTTAAGTGAATCACTATAGTGGTTCAGTTAGTAAGCTGAATCTGGCCGTGACCCATCAAAACCGCATTCCACAAAAGCGCGGTCGACGAAAGCGCGTATGTGACGTCATCACAGCGCGACGAAAAAGATCGAAAAATGTAAAAATAAAGCGAAAACCCTACCCTAACCCCCCAAACCTAACCCTAAACCTAAACCTAAACCTAACCCTA